ATTTGTTAAATGTAAACATTGTTTGTAAATCCCAGGCCCTGAAGATGATCTCAATAAAAGATCGAAACGTTGGCACGATAAAGAAAATGTTTTTCTGAAACCTACATCACACCAGACCGCATCTCACGATATCTGAATACCTATCAATTAACGGGAGCTAATCTCTATACATTTACATATAACAATTACATTTTGGATGTGGAACAGTGAATTTATACAAATTAATTATAGAAATAATAATTATAGAAATCCGTTTAATCCAATTATTTGTACTCATTCAAAATGTTTGTCTTCTATGTAATTGTGCCATTCTTGCGTGTCGTGTCGAGAGTGCCAGTGAGATTTGCTATTTTGTGTTTATATACGATAGATTTTGAAGGGGTGGGGAATGATGTCGGTATAGAAAAGACATTTTTGTATAAGGCGTCGGCTTCTTTGAGGTGATAGAATATATAAAAAATATATTTTGCATTGTATAAATTCACTTTTCCACATCCAAAATGTAATTTGTAAACAATGTTTGTAAATCCCAGGCCCTGAAGATGATCTCAATAAAGATCGAAACGTTGGCACGATAAAGAAAATGTTTTTCTGAAACCTACATCAAACCAGACCGCATCTCACGATTTCTAAATAAATATCGATTAACGGTCACTAATCACCACTAATTTGTAAACAATGTTTGTAAATCCCAGGCCCTGAAGATGATCTCAATAAAGATCGAAACGTTGGCACGATAAAGAAAATGTTTTTCTGAAACCTACATCAAACCAGACTGCATCTCACGATTTCTAAATAAATATCGATTAACGGTCACTAATCACCACACAAAATAATTTATTCTGGGACAGATATCCCCTTAGAATAATACATGGGTTAAAGTGAAAAGTATTAACATTTTGACACAAAAATGAACCTTGCTGTGGTGATCAATGTAATAACAACGAACTTATTTAAAACAAAACGTAAGCAACACAACTTTGAATGAATTTTAGTGTAAGAATTTGTTTATTAGCATGAAAAGAGGGGCTTATCCTCAATTACCTCGAGGGATATCGAATATTGTGGGCTAATGCGAATTAAAAGTGAATAAACTATAAATGTTAAGGAATCTTCCATTATAATAGAGGAATAATGAGTGACGTGTCTCCGTGGAGACCGTTTTTAACTCGGCGAGGGATAAAAATACCTTATTGAAACTGTATTTGCTTTTGTAAATGATAAAAGAAGGATAATTCAGCGTTTAGATATGCCAATTCAGTTGCGGTTTTCAATCCCATAACGGCTTAATGCCCTACCCTTTTTAGAGTAGGGTGAATGAATAAAATAGATAGCTTTGGCCCTCGGCGCGGGAATCCGACGAGACTTTTGTAAAGGAACTCCGTGGTGATCTTTCGGTTATTGATGGATGACTCGCGTCGTTATTCTTTCTCCATACCTTTCCCAATCGGATAAATTTTATAGCGAGAACGGTCAGCGATAGGCGACATTCAGCATGAAACGCCCGAGCCAGAGCGGAAACACAGCCGAGCCAGGAAAACGACCGGGGCAAAGGACAATTCCATTTTATTCATCGGTTTTTGTGAGTCGTATTGATTACATTCCGACATAACGCCTCTTGAATTTTTCAGTTTATTTCACTTTTTCACATCACACAGGTCGTCCTCAACCCGACGGGCTTAGATGTCTGTATTAAGAAATATGAATTCATGTTTCTTTATATTTTTTCAAACATCCAAACCCTGTTTCTTGCTTGTTCTCCTTCATGGAATAATCATTTTTGCATTTAAGTTATGTCAATTATCCATTTAGTGTCCAAAATCGTTTTAAAATGAAAGATCCTAAGTGTTTTAGGCTAGAAAATCAAAAATATATCTGCTATATGGATTGTTAAGTATTTTGGATTGAATTTGAGAACCTACAACCAAGAACCAACATCAGTAAAAACAAACACTAAGCAAAGATAGTCAAGACGAGTCCACCTACTCTGTACCTTCAGCGCATTGAAAAAGAACGATTGCAATAAAAATAAATGGAGAAAGGAAAAAGGAAAAAGTCATATTTACCAGGATATGCGTAGGTCATACCAAGATCACACTTGTACACCTTCTAATGGGGTTGAGACAATGCAGGTGCCCGTTGTGTGAAGGCAAGAAGTAAGAAGTAAATCTGCGAAGAAAGAAGTACAACCCCCATAACCTATCCGTAGCCTTGGGGCTCGTCAGCCTGCACAAATCGCTGATCCAATATCTCAGGGGTAAAAATGTTTGAAAATATATATAGACCTTCAGGTATGTGATGTGTGCTATTTATTAGGGGAATGTGAATGAATTTTATTGTGTGAAGGTATTTATTAGCGTGAATCGAGGGAAGTGTGATTGAGTGTGGTGACTCTGACGGGTTTGTGTGTCTGGATTATTAAATATGAATTCATTTATCTTTTAAATGTTTTTAACGCATCAAAATCGTTCCCAGCCTGTTCTTCATGAAATATACATTTTTGCGTTAGGTTTAAGTCAATTTTACTATTTAGAGTCCAAAATTGTTTTACAATGAAAGACATTGTTTTAGATAAGAAAACAAGTCTAAAATTTGTCTGATTGTTGATTGATAAACATTTTAATCTAATCTTTTCTGTTTTGCGTTTTTTCATTATAGATTTTTTATCTATGCTTCCATGATCAAATTGTCTCATAAATTTTTAAAACCAGAAACAAAACACTATTGTATAATTAATTAATTACTTTTGATTTGATACCACTGGCACTACAGATTCTCGGACCTAATCCTCTGAAAGTTTTCTTTTTACGGTACGTAGAAGGGTGTTGGGACGAGGCCAAACAAAGGAAAAGAAAAACCACCTGGCAAGGATTTGTTGTTACTTTATTAGGGAAAGAAAGTAAAATATTCAATTTTTTCCACCCCACCCTCAAAAGGCTAACGATAAACTGCCGTGAGGGTGTCATTGGACTAGAGGGGCAAAATACTTAGAGACGATTTCTGTCACTGCGACCCCCAATGACATTTGTTAAGGTTTGAAAAGAACGAAGAAAAGTCAACTGTTATGCTAGATAAAACAGACAAAATCAATCCTCAATTTCCAGTATAAACGATGATTAAACATAATATCAAAATCACAATATTATCATATCAATAAAATAATAAACATGATCATATTATCAAATACAATCATTTTACTAATAATATAAACTAAGTTTTTGATCAATTGTAAACGCGACTTGAAATGAACAACGTTGTTGAACGTTCTTAACTCAATTCTTAATATTTTTTAAATTGAACTTTATTGCTGATAATAATAAAAAATAGAAATGTTAAACAGTTCGCCGTTTCTTTCATATAAAAACCCTAAAATTTAGACAATCAACCTTTACGATTGCCCTTGGCGCACCGAAATTCGAAAAATCCGCCAAAGTTTACCCATGGAATTGTGGGTAATATAAGTTTGGTGAGCGCGAGGTGTGAACCACGAAAAAGAGCCGATTCATTTCAAAGAGTAAGTGGTTTTCATCCGATCCTTTTTTCGACATCTCTAGTCAGCCAGTTCAGAAGCAGTAGAATTCTTTTTTTAGGTTTTATTGTGTTGTTTTTTGTACAAAAATTTGTACATTTAACAATTTCTGTTAACAAAAGATTTGGGAGGAACTGTCAGACCACGGGAATGGGGATAGAGAAGACGAGTCGGCCATTGGCTCTCACTGTTTAGCATTGTTGGTTGAGGTTTAGGGTTGGGTTAGGAGGACACGAGGCCATTGTCTTTTTAGACGGCATGGAGGATAGTTAAGATGGGACGTTTACGAGAAGACTTGAGCTAGTGGAATGTCGGAGGAAGAATGGAAGTTGTGGAATTGTGTTTGGATAACGTCCGTCACGAATGGGATGTCTTGGTCTTTGTGGATGGTTTGATTAGTGACATAGAAAGGAACGTTGAGGATGCTACGGAGGACACTTTTGATTGAAAAGTTTGGCTTCTTTCCATGTTGGATGGCTTGGCTCAACCCAATAGCTCGATTCCGTAAGTCCAAATCAATTAAATTAGTGTCTTGTGTATTATTAGTTTGTTGTGTGTACTCATTGAGGATTTGGGTCTATGTAGGCGATTGAGTTGTCAGTATCTTCGGTCTTGTTTTGTTTTATGTGTATGTTCAATGTGCACTGGTGGCAGATACTTCTTCTACGTGTGAACGTCACGTGCCGGCATTTTCATTCATTTAGCTTGATGCGCCATATAGTGCACCAGTTGGCAATGAGGTCTTTGGGTTGTTTTTGCTGCAAGGATATGGCCAGGATATGAGGAGAGAATTGCGATGTTGTCCGCGAAGTACGTGATGTGGGCGTTAGGGTGTATAGGTTTGTTAGCAGTGTAGACTGTGTAGCGAATTGGTCATATCCCTCCCTTGGGGAACGCCGGCCTTGAAGGTGTGTCTCAAAATTCAAAGCCAATTCTCACCTTAAACCAGCGATCCGGGAATAAGAACTTCAAGGTGAGATAGGTGTGAGGAAGAATACTTTTTAATTTGAAAGTGAGTGCGGGGTGCCACATCCTGTCAAATGCCTCTGTAACATCTAGAAAAACTGCAGAAGAGAGTAGATTCTAAGAATATGAAATTGAATAAATTCCTCTATGTCTGTATGTACAACTTCTTGTCTCAATACTACTTGCACAATGGTTTTAGGTAAATCTAACATTCGCACCGGGTATCGCTGACTATTTATTTTTTCGCTTATTACTCTCAGTCCATAAAAAAACTTTAGAGTGTGTGATTATGTTTCTGTAAATGGGAGTAATAGTTTTCTCGATAGTTACATTAAAACATTGGTTTTCGTTCATGAAAATAAGCCAAAACGACACTATACATATAAACTATTAATTGTAAACAATTTCTCCCAAATTGTGATATTGTGTTGCCTTTTTCAGTTGGGCTGACTGCATTTGACGTTGAACAGGTGGCAACACGTAATCTTGTATTGTAATTACTTACGTTGTGAATCCAGGACAGCTTTCGCCACTGCGGATTCGCTCGGATATGACATTCAAAGTAGACGTCATCCCCTTCTTTAATATCCGAGGAGTTGAGCGTGCTCCCCAGCCTCAGCGAAACGATGGGTGGATCTGAGGTTAAAAAAAGATTTTGAATAAACTGTGTGAGCGTGAACAAAATCTATTTATTTATGTTTTTTACTTACAAACAACTGATAAATTCCAGTGTGTGGCCACGTACAATCCGGTCACATTTGGATTTTCGGCTCTGCAGGTTATCGTCTTTCCGTCATCTTCAGTCGATGGAATGAAACTTAACGTGCTTGTCGTGATGTTGGCCTGATCCCCACTTTCCTCCTAATAATTGAGAATTTGTTCCATTAAAATTGAATACATAATACTAAACTATTGATTAAAAGTTACCACAAGGTGACAAGTTGTATACATATAGTTCTGAAATAATTTTAATACCTTTCAAAACCAATCTTTGTTGCAAAAACCTTTAAAGGCTTTTTTTTTAATTTACGGAAATATCCTTATGAAAACGAGGTTTTGGTAAATGCGACGTCTGGTATATGCGCTTGTACTGTAAAATATACCAACGTACTAAGGTACTTTTTTTTTTTAACGAACGCTCGTTTTATTGTGCAAACGCAAACTCTACGTTAGAAAAACCTTATCGGAATGAAAATATATTTGTACAACAAATAATGAAAAACTTAGGCCTGAGCAACAGAGTGAAGCTGAAATAAAGAACAAATAAGGAGTATTACTCAGAATCTCAGCAGGAATTTATATTAAAGAACACTTAAAAGTTAATCTCAGTATAAAAAAACCGAAATACCGAATAATGCAGTTTTTATGAATGGATAAAACTCAAAATTTTAAAATGATCTATGAGGTAGCAACCGTTTTTTTATTATTTACGTTTATTAAGTTTTTTATTTAAGGAGAGTCTGTACTTTCTGATTTAAACATCAAGCATTAAAAATGAACTGCATTTTGGTAATTTTTCGGAAACGTTCAGCTGTTCCCAGGCCAAAAAATTGTCAGTTTTCAGTTCGATTTTATCAAAAATCTATTTTGTTATATTTTTCTCAGTATGAAAAAGTCAGTAGCTAAAGTTTTTCGAAAGATAGTAAATTGTTAATTTTTGGCAACAAACTAAAATTTTGACCAACTGTTACACCTTTATTACACGGAAATATTAATTTCTCCGCTCCCTGGTATTTTTTCAAATTTACGAATTTTTGCCTATTATTCTAGTTCAATATAAAAAAACATATATTCAATAAAATGAAGAGTTTTGAAGAAAAGTGCGAAAAACTATGGAAGCATGCGCACTCCGTGCACTAACTTCGGGCGCGTGCACATATCTCATAATAACTTCGGGTATATGTGCACTCCTCGCACTGGCTATACATGTGCACGTCGCGCTAATTCATTTTTGTTCACGGAAGATGAAGATAGGCGAAAAAATACAACTTTTCAAGTGAAATAATTTTTTAGTAGAACTCAAAATCTTCCTTTTGCCGCTCCATTAAAGCGAAAAAGTAACTAGAAACCGATTGTTCTTACAGTGAAGATTGGATAGAAGATCTTTGATTTGAGATAGAGTTTTAACACAGAATGTTTATAAAAGAATTGCAAGTTCATACAGGCAAAATTCACCAGAACATTTGATCCTCACTTCAAAAACTTATTTGAAGCACATCTAAGGCGTGAAATCTCAGGGGATCAGTTTTATTCTGTGCATAAAATGTTTTCCTTTAAATATTAGTTCTGTTTAGTCAAAGAAAGGTGGAAAAATACAAGGTTCCAGAAAATTATCTGTCCGTACGCCAATTTTTCATTTCGCAGCCTGATTTATGTCATAAAAATAAAGACAGCCCTAATATAAAAACACAATAAAAACCTTTCTAAATATTGCTCGCAAGGCTTGTTTGCCTATTATTGATTCACTAATTGAAATAGATAATGTTTCAATATAATGAAGAACTTTTCAGAAAGTGTACTGAAAGGTCAAAATTCGTTTTAGAAAAAGGTTTTCAGATTTACTAATACAGGACAAATTTTTCACTTTGCTCAATTCACATTATAAAATCGATTTCTCGAGCTGTCGAATACCGACAAGTGATTTTTAAGTTGGTGGCGTACTTTTTGATACAAAATATATTTAAAAAGGTTTACAAAGTTGCAATTTCATCAAGGCAAGAGACACTTGATTCGCAAATTTAACAAAATTATTTAAAGAACTTTTAAAGCTCTGAATCTCGTGGGGCGAGTTCATATTCATTCAGAAACGTTTGTAGTTAGGTTTTTTAATTAAAAACAATATATTTTACATTTCGAAAATCGGTCGTCATTACCTTTAATAATCAAAGGGATTACATAATGTTGTATTATTTATATGTTAAGTGGTTTATTTTCAACAAAAAACACCATTTTAGACTGATTTGTAAGAGAATAAAATAAATCTATAAATAATTGAAATGTCTCTCATAATATACATCATGCCGTCTCTATTGTTGTAGCAAAATTTTTATGTATATTTAAAAGAGAAGTCTTAATGAATGAAATCATATTATTGCCAAGTTTATGGTGATTACATCAAACATATACAGGCTACTCGTGTTACCAACTTTGCCAGTAGATTCTACATTCAAAAAGGAACCAGAAGGTCTTAATTAAATATGGTCCTAATCTCAACAGTTTTGGAGTAATTTCACGTTTTCCCTTTTTTTAAGATTTCACGACCTTGCTTAAATAAACAATGATAACTCCAAGTCTAAAAGGTTTAGAAAAATATGATGATACATTAAAACTACGTCGTTAAATTTCTAATAAGATGTGAACAATACTAAACTTGTAAACGTTCGTGAAATAATCGTTTTAGTAGCAAGAACATTGAAAAAAAAATATATATATATGTATATTTTTTATTGAAAAATTTATTATGGTGATTCTAAACTACTATTTACAGACCGAAAGACCAGCAAATTTCAGAAATCGCACTGTATTTAATATCCTTTTTAGTGGTGCTATTGATTTTTTAATTACTTTTTTCAAAGATGAAGAAATTGATGAAGGAAAAGAAAAAACCGTGGTTGAAGGATTGGTAAGGTGGAAAGTTTAATAATAATCCATTAGATTTCGTGGTCCGATGACAAAATAACTTCTTTCAGTTAATTAAACTTTATGTAAGGTATTGGTTGAAATAAAAAAACCAGTGTCACGAGCGGGATTCGAACCCACGATCTTCGGCTTGATACGCCGCTGCTCTACCACTTGAGCTATCGCAACTTCCATCCACTCGGACATCAACTCCCCATCTCAAGTCAAAAAAATTCGAAAGATGGGTTACATAAAGATTAATTAATTGAAATTAATAATAATAAAACAATTAAGGAAATTTTGAATGATATACTCTTTTATTCCGGAGAATAATAATACAATAATTCTTTAATCAAAGTGCAGTCGTGTCGGTAAATAAGTAAACACTTACCCTATTTCGGTTTCGAACCCAAATGAAAAAAAAGGTTAATAAATTCATTCAAAATTTCCTTAAGTATTTTTAGAAATGATAAATGATGGAGTGAGTGTGGTGTTCAATACTTTTTAAAAGGATAGTTCCTACTCACAGTAAGTTGTTTTGCAACGATCCGGATTTCGAGCCTTTTAGCTCNGCGTTGGCGGAGGTATCAGCGGGTTCACTTTGGCAATTCATGTCGAGAGACGTGGTTGTGGAAGTCCTTCAACCTGATGATGAGCTCAAAGGCTCGAAATCCGGATCGTTGCAAAACAACTTACTGTGAGTAGGAACTATCCTTTTAAAAAGTATTTAGTCTTTTTTTTAAATTTTCCACCTTGCCAATCCGTCATCCAAGGTTTTTCCTTTTCTCCATCACTTTCTTTATCTTTGAAAAAAGTAATTAAAAAAGAAATTACACCACAAAAAAGCATATTAAATTTGGTACGTTTTCTGAAATTTGCTGGTCTCTAGGTTTGGAAATAGTAGTTTAGAATCACCATAGTAAGTTTTTCAACTTTGAAAAAAAATTTTTTTTCAAAGTTCTCGCTACTTACACTTATTTTACGAACGTTTACAAGTTTAGTATTTATAACTTCTTACTGGAAATTTAACGTAGTTTTCGATGGTATCAACGGATTCGTTCTTTTTGTTTTGGAGTTATCATTGTTTATTTGAAGCAAAAACGTGAAATTACTCCAAAACTGTTGAGATTAGGACCATAGTTAATTTAGACTTTTTGGTTCCTTTTTGAATGTAGAATCTACTGGCAGTTTGTAACGTGAGTAGCCTAACACCCTGTATTAATATATCATTTTATTCTAATCGGAATAAAGTTATTGTGTATAGAAAGCGGAATACCTTCTTATTTATAGGAAGTTTACATAGTAATTATTAAAATAATATTTGCAATTATTACATGGCAGGAGAAAAGAGAATGAACTAGAGGCGGTCTAATCTTACTGCAAGCTCTAAATTCTAGCCCCTACACTGCAGAACGCCGTTAAGCCCTACATAATGCTTATATGACTTTTATTACTTGCCCCTTTTGCCACTATGTGATAACAGAACGATAGTTGTGTGACAAAAGCATGGGAATAATTTTATTTTATCTCATTACAGGTCTGGCAAGAATTATTTTACTTTTTAGAATCTCATTTCAGACGTTACGAAACTGCAGCTTGATCGTATGCAAAAATCTTGGTCTGTTTATTCCTCTTTGTTGGTTAATCTATATTTTATTAATTAATTTTTTAATTTCACCTATGATTGTTAAAAAAAACAAAGAGGCCAGATAAGAGACTATCATTAGCACCCCGCGGTTTTCAGTACATCAGTGATATGAAAGATGTAGAATAGCATACTGAATATTAAATGTAAAAATATTTTTGATAGATTTCTTTTAAAACCAACAACACAACTGATAAATGAATCAAAGTTGCAACGCCATCGACTTTGAATTTTAAAAGAAAGGTGCGGAAAAAAATAAGAAAAATCACCTACTGTTACGGAGTGGCATGATTAGTACCTCTGAGGCCGATTCCCACCTGGTAACCCTAGTCTTTCACACCAATCATTCTTTAAACCCAGCTTAGCCACATGGCCTTCCCTGCAGCCCCCTTCTGCTATCCTTTATCGAAATCTTCCCAATCATCCGACCCACCCACATGCCTCCGCCCCAACCAGGGAAAGATCGAGGTGTAATTTTCTTAATCAATAATAGGCTTCTTCTCGTTGGCCAACGGATGATAAATAATGTGCTCGAATATTACGACTATGTTCTGCTAATTATCTTCTGACTGTTAAATTATTCAGTTCAACTAGGCTTTACTCTCAGTTGTATTCTGCTATCCTTAGTATTGGCTTTTTACATAGTTTTCTGATTAAAGATAATTTTGTCTATCGGAAAATATTAATTTCTTATAATTTCTATTCAAATAGGAACTAAATTACAGATTTATTATAATAATTATGCAACCACCGAAAGCTCGATAATAAAACCAATTTTCTACGGTTAGACCATCCTTCCATTTCACTTTTTAACAAACGACAATGACACAGGTCGATAAATATGTATCCAATTTTAGTACACATCTATATTTTTGCCCAGAATGAGGGAAGTCGCATGAGATTTCGAGTTTTGATTAAATGTGTATTTCATATTTTTTAATATGTAAATTTTTTATTCAACCAAAAGTGTATCTTGCTATGATGAACTTGCACCTCGCCATCCCTTATACTGTTGAAAAGTTTTATGTTTTAAGAACATCAGTTCTGTGTCAAAAAATGCCTCCACAACATAAACATTTAGCAACATCCTATAGCAAGAACAATCCGCGTATAACGTTTTTATGGGGTAAAGTAGTTTTCAGTAGGAAAAATTCGTGCTCGATCAGAAAATCGTTTCTCCTGAGAATTTGAATTTTTTCACGTTTCAACATTTTCCGTGACCAAAATAAGCGTTAAGACAGAAACACACTAACCCGATGCTACGCCATGCGACGCTACCCGATGCTACCGACGCAAATCCAAACTTCGATTTTCCATAAGGTTGTATTACCCTCGTGCACATCTACCCGATGCTATGCCACGCTAACCTACCCGACGCTCTGCGATCCCCACTGTCCAGATTTTCGTCGGGTCGCATCGAGTACAGTCGAAGAAAAAAGAACCGGACACTCATATTTTTATTCAAACTACATGTATTATTGTTGTTATATTAATTACAATATACTTATTTTAATAGAAACCAAATTAACTGTGATTAAAAATTAATTAGTTTTTATTTAAAGAATTAATTTTAATGGTTTGGTAGAAAGTTAATCAACACACCGGAATACGATGTTTTGTTATAATGAATTTAACTAACAATTTATTGTACTCGCTTCGGCGGTACATATATTAAAATTGGAACAATTTATTACACGGTTTTGCTCATAAAATTTAATTAACAATTTATTTCATAGTTTTGCTCGTAAAATTACACCATTTTCTAATGTCGGGTAGCATCAGAACAGGACACTCATATTTTTTGTAGTTTATTTCAAACTAAGTACATGTAATTTTGTCGTTATATTAATTACAACATGTTATTTTAATGTAAACCAAATTAAACGAGATCAAAAATGCATAAGTTTTTATAAACATTGTTTAATTATGATGGTTAGGAGTAACTTTATTTAAAACAATTAAGTTTAACAAACAATTTATTAGATGGTTGTGCTCATAAAATTTAACTAACAATTTATTACAAGGTTTTGCTCAAAATAGTGCATTAAGAACAAAAGATGCGTTGCGATTGTGATAGTGATTATTGTGATAAACGCTGTGGACTGTACGCGACGTGTGCTTGCGTCGGATAGATGTGCACACCCCACCAAAACGTGGCAAGGCGTCGGGTAGCATCGGGTAGCGTCGCATGGCGTAGCATCGGGTAAGTGTGTTCCTGGCTTTAGCGAGAAGTGCGCATGTGTAGTACGTGCGTGTAGTGCACATGGGCCCGCAATTAGTGCGAGGAGTGCACATGCGCCCAGAGTTCGTTAACGTTCCCATTGTACGGAAAGGCTCGTCGCTTGGCGAATCTGGAGCGGCCACTTGTCGCCCACTATGTATATCTTTTCTATGAAACCAGATTTGATTTAGAGATCAACGTTAGTATAGTGTTCAGTTATGATTGATAAATGTTGAAAAATGAATTCAGTTCAAAATAAAACGGTACAACTGCAACCAACCACTACGTATCGTGGGAACGGGTGCTGTACTGAACCTTATCACCGTCTAGCTCTAAGCTCTTTGATGTCGGAGTATTTACAGACAGTACATGGGAAAAACGAGTCACCTAGAGCAATAAAGGAGCATGGGGTATGACAAAGTTCAGACCAGGATCGCCAAGCCACACGCAGTGGGAAAAAGGCTTTGCACTTTTCTTCAAAACTATTTAATCAAATCGTAGGATACTTTTTCCATTTGCATAGCAATAATAGGCAAACAATCGTAGCGAGAAAAATTAAAAAAAAAATTTAGTAGTTATATAGAGTTGGTGGCATTTATCGTTAGTAGTTAGTATGAGTTGACTTTATATTGTTGCAAATCCTTAACGATTCATTATGAAAAAACCTAGGTACAATTTTTACAATACTAAGAAAGATATAACAAAATTTAGAGAAAATGATCAAAACCGTCTATTTTGGGCACCTTTTTGAAAACTAAATGACCTTGAAACATGGCTGAAATACTATAAATTTTTAAGGTTTAGTGCTAACTAGAAGGTACAGAAAAAAAAGTAAATCGCTCGAGTAGAACCGGATATAAACAAAATATAGGACAAAAACCACCAGCTCGTCTGAAAAACGGTCGTTACCCCTTTTAAATCGAGGTTAGTATTTTAACAACAAATTGGCAGTTGTGTAAAGCGGCTCACCCTGACTTTGCGCAGGAGCCTATTTCCTTTGTACCACGTGATGACGGCTGGTGGACGGGAACCGCCAGTCTCGCAGGTCACTTCGTAGCGATGATCGGCGATCAGCTTCGACGGCTTGCTTATTATATTTACGACCAGGGGGCGCACTGAAAACAAAAAATGCATTTAAATTACAAATTTTTTTTTAAATCTAAAATTTTCTAGCATTGTATAAAGTCATATTTTTTTCACATCCTACATGTATTTGTAAAATTCAAACAATATTTATAAATCCCAGGCCCTGAAGTTGATCTCAATAAAGATCGAAACGTTGACACGATAAAAAAAGTTTTTCTAAAACCTAAGTCGCACCAGACCGCATTCACGATCTCCGAATAATTAAATTACGAAATTTAACAACGTGATTCAGTTTAAACTGGCTGAATAACAATATTCTTTTTTTTAACACCACAGTTGAAATAAAGAATTGCTAGTTTTTAAAGTAGATTTTTGGTTTATAATTAAGAAAGTGGACAACTTTGCAAAGAAAGGAGCTGCTACACCGCTGATAGGCCCCGAACGCTTCTGTGGCAGAGGAACCCACACTATCAATGAGCAACTCAGACATAAGGACAAAAAGAAAATGAAGGAATATTTGAATTCACTCATTGGACACAGGTAATCCAAGAATCTCCTAACAAATTTCGGAAGAAAAGAAATTACAAAATGTGTCAAAGGAAGCAGGAATAAACTACGAATCCTAATAGGGTACTGCAGGCAGAGGAGACACCAAGCTACAACTGCCCGCAGGAGGAACTGCTTTGGGATGTACAATGTGACCATAGAATCATTGAAACCGGGCCTACTAATTAAGTTCCTCGATGAAACAGGACTCACCGGTGTGCTGTAGGCAGAGTACGGGGGATACAATAGCTCTTAAAGGGCGCAGCATATTACACCCCGACTATTACATCTACATCTACATGGTTTGTAATTAATAAATAATTAAGTGGGCAACGAATCGATACCTATCTTCTTACTTAATATATCTATCGGGTTGTCCGGAAAATAATGCAGGATTTTAAGTTTTCATTAAAAAAAATCTATATAAAATATTCTGTTTACGTTTACAGGATTACTCATTTGTATGAATGTCAACACTTATTAATCCTCTTCCAAATGATATTGTTTGTTTACCTCTGTAGCATTCCGCTACTTGGAAATAATTCAGTCATCCTTATAATGTCAAAGCGAGAATTTCGTACGATTTTCTTTTACGAGTTTAAACTCGGCCGAAGCGGAGCCCAAACGGCTAGAAACATTAACCAAGTCTGGGGCGAGGGTTGTGTTAATGAGTGCACTGTGCAAAGGTGGTTTAAAAAATTTCGGGAGGGAGATTTCAGCCTTGAAGATGAAGAAGGTCGTGGAAGGCCTTCCTCTCTTAATGATGATGTTCTGCGATCAGTGGTGGAAGAAAACCCCAAAACAACTGTTCGAGAACTTGCAGAGCAACTCAAAGTCAGTAAAACGACCGTCGCTGACCACCTCAAGGCGATTGGAAAAGTGAAAAAACTCGAAAATTGGGTTCCACACTCATTAAACGATCGCCAAAAAAATCAGCGCTTTGATGTTTGTGCATCACTTCTTTGTCGAAACAAAAATGACCCATTTCTGGCCAGAATTGTTACATGTGACGAAAAGTGGATTCTCTACGATAACACTAGACGTTCTGGACAGTGGCTCGACAAAGGAGAAGCTCCAATACATTTTCCAAAGCCCCCAACTCATCAAAAAAAGGTAATGGTTACGGTATGGTGGGCTTCATTTGGTTTAATACACTACAGCTTCTTAAATCCTGGCGAAACCATCAATGCTGAATCATACTGTAACCAAATTAATACCATGCATCAGAAATTGGCAGTAATGAAGCCCTCTTTGGTCAATCGGAAAGGGCCCATTTTGTTGCATGACAACGCTCGACCACATGTGTCACGTGTAACGTCACAAAAATTATTGGAGCTTGGCTATGAAACTTTGCCTCACCCACCCTACTCTCCGGACCTCTCGCCTACTGACTACCATTTTTTTAGACACCTGGACCACTACTTACAACACATAATATTCAAAAATCAAACGGAACTGGAAAATGCATTCATTGACTTTATCAATTCTAAAAATTCTGAATTCTACTCAGACGGAATTAATAAGTTACCAACACGTTGGGAGAAATGTATTGAGAGTATGGGAAATTATTTTGATTAAAGAACATTGCTTTAAAGTAACTAGTTTCTTTTTTTTTGTTTAATACCAAAATCCTGCATTATTTTCCGGACAACCCAATACTACAATATGAAATGAGTTGAGTTTAGAAATTACATGGATCATGTGTCGTGTGGGGAGTTAACAACTATTATTGTTTACCGAACTATAAGCGAGGACTAATCCTCCTTTAGTAGGTAGCGAGGCCATCTCCTCTTCAGTCATCTCGGGGGATTATATAGAAATTGGAATAGGATTAGGCAACGCGATTGGGATGAGAGGAGAGTTTACTGTAGAAAGTGGAAAATGTTTTGGGAATTAGTTTTTGCACATTTGAAAGGGATTTTGAGGTCATTGTGAAGAGTTGGAGGCGGAATAAGTAGCATTGACTATGATGGCTGAGGACATTGGATTGGAACTGTATTCTTTGATTGTTGGAAGGTTTAGCAGTGCCCCACAGTTCTAGACCGTACGTCCAGATTGGTTTAAGTAATGTCTTGAAGATTGTCAGTGTTTCGTTGAAACGTTCGATTTGCCTGACTCCAGAGTAGTGCAGAACGTTGGTTTAATGACTGTTCTTTTAGTCATGTGTCTTGGTACCAGGTCTTGAGTTTATGGAACCCAAGGTAGTGAACACAGTCTGTTTTTGGCATGAGAGTATTAATGAGGAATATCATGGGTGAATGGTACAATACATAGGTGCTTTTCCTTTAATTGACACTTATACGCCGGTGTTGCTACATTCGATTGTTTGCAGGATATGTACAAGGAGTGCCCCCGAAGCAATTGTGGGATCTGGATGAGAGGATAGCACAGCTGTGTCGTCGGCAAAGGATCCAAGGTTGGTGGAGGGTGAAGTAGTGATATTGCGGTGTGGAGGAGACATCTATTAAAAATATTTAATAATATATTAAGATAAAACAGCAAAATCTCACTGGCACGACACGCAAGAATGGCACAATTACACAGAAGACAAACACTTTGAGTGAGTAGAAATACTTTGATTGAATATAAAAAATATATTTTCCATTGTATTCACTTTTCCACATCCTAAATGTATTTGTTAAATGTAAACAATGTTTGTAAATCCCAGGCCCTGAAGATGATCTCAATAAAGATCGAAACGTTGGCACGATAAAGAAAATGTTTTTTTGAAACCTACATCACACCAGACAGCATCTTACGATTTCTGAATAATTAAAAATATTGTTCAACATCCACGCATTGAAATGTATTACTGAGAGTAAAAAAACCTCTGGAATTTCGACGTTTCAGGTTTTCTGTTTCAATCCAAAGAAATTTAAGGCAGACAAAATATAATAGACTGTTCTACTTAGGAAATTATTAGTTCAAACAAATAGGAACAACAGGACAATTAAATGATAGATAAGTATGCATGTTTGGGTGTAGTATTTTCACGGTACCATTAAGCCGATATAACAGTGTGTTTTTCTTTTAAGCAATATATAGAAACATGGCAAGCAAATTGATACGTGGTGGTACAAAAACTTATCCGATTCTCCCTCAGCGGTAAAAATGATGTGGCTGTTTATTACGGATTCCCCCTTCATTGGAGGCTCGGAAACAAGAAAAAAGAAGAAGGCTTTGAAACATCGTAAAGTTCTTTTGATCTTAAATTATGAAATAGTTTTTTTCACTTAAAAATATATCGGTCTCTAGAAGAAAATCTCGACGGAAAACAAGAAATACCACCCTACTTCCCCTTTCTTTTTTTTCCATTCTTTAGTAATGGCGTGACCTACATACACTCCTCGACAGTCTTCCTCATAAACTATTAATTTATTTTCTTCCCATCTTCTTCTATTGGTTTCAAATAATCCAAAAGGCTTGTTAAATATATTTTACAGCCGGGAGCCGCACGGGGCCAGAGTTTCGAGCGGCTCCGTTCAAAAATTAAACGCAATTATTCACGGGTTTAGAGGTAAGGTTTAATCACAAAATGTGCTCCCTTCATACCTAAACGAATCATAAAATTCATAATGCTATTAATAAAACGGAGTCGTTCATGCATTTTTAAATTTGCTTCAATTTGCACTGCGTTGCGTTTCTCTTCGCTAATTCATATATCTTGCTAATATATGTTTTCTAAATCATACTCGTGTTCAGAAAGAACTGAGGAAAATAGGTCTAACTCAATTTAAAATCTGCCTAATCCTTAATGTATGCTTGGATCCATTAAATTGAGCTTTAAGGAAATCTAGTTGACGAAACGGTGAATGACCTCCACCGTAATGGATTTCAGTAGACCGAGAGAAAAATTGTCCTTAAACGGGGCGACTCATCATTCACCGGCGGATGCAAAATAAGCAATTGTAGCAAAATTAAAAAAAAGAAACAAAGGCAAATAGTTATTATCCAATTACTTTACCTCCCAGATAGCTCTTTACAAAGTTAACGCACGAATAGAATTACTTTTGGCTCTTTGGCTGTATATAGTAACAATTATATATACACGAGAAAGAGAAAGAGAAACGAGGGAAAGTGGGAGGGAAAATGAGAGAATGAGAGAGAGGAGGATAGATAATTATAGAGATAGTGAGAAATATAGGAGGGAGAGAGTGAGGTGAGAGAGGGAGGGAGGGAGGGAGGGAGAGAAAAAGAGAGAGGGAGGGAGGGAGAGAAAACGTNGAGGGACAGAGAGAGATGGTGGGGAAAGAGGGGGGGAGGGAGAGAGAGAGAGATAGATAGAGAGAGAGTTAAGCGCGTCTTTTGCAACATCCTGCATAGCTTGACAGACTATAAATGAGACGGAAAACGCAGGAGAATATTAAACTCAATCTAGATCGCTCTACAACCAAGTTATGAAAAAACAAACTGATTATGGTTGTAACTGATACATCTAGGCCTTTCAAGCTAAATTACAGGTTATCAATCCTTGGGCCATAAAATTTGTTAAAAGAGGTCGCACTGACAAAAAATCCTCATATGATCAGACAGAGAAGCTTTAAAAGTATTGGCACATAGAAACGCTAAACATTGGTGGTTGCATCCAAAGGCTCCAAAACCTGAGAAAGCATAACAATCTGAAAATATTTCAGTGCCAGGGCTCGAAGGAATTTTAATAATGAACATCAGAAAAGCTGTCAAGAGAAGGATCTACAAGATCATCTAAGGCCCAGAACCTATAATTAGAATAACAAGATGGCCACACCACCGCATCCATTATGTACGTCCATTTACAAAGAACGATTGCTTATGCAATAAAAATTAATGGAGAATCGCTGGAACAAAAGAAGCACGTCTAAATTATACAAATGTAACAACGACATCCGTATAGGGCCTGCGGAGGGACTCGGTATAGAAGGAAAATGTATAATTACCGCATAGGTCATACCCCGATACATACGAACCTCTTCTAATGAAGTTGACCCACGTAGGTGCCCGTTGGGTGAAAAGCATATCTCCGTAGAGCACATAATACCAGTCTGTAAAGAAATAAATACTAAATCCCGGATCACCTATCCGTGGCCTTGAGGGACTGCAAATATATTATATTATATAGCTAATGCTGAACGGAACGGCGTGACTTTAATTATACGAGGAATATCAAGTACTATGTGGTAGTGTGAATAATTTATTAGAGTAAATGGAGAGGCTTATCTCTAATTCCCCCGAGGAATGTCGAGAATACTGCGGTAATGAATTATTATGTGTAAATTATTTATTAGCGCGAATGGAAAGGTTTATCTCTAATTACCTCGAAGAATATTTGAGGTAGTGGGAGTATAATTTAGTAGCATAAATGGAGAGGCTTATTTCCAATTCCCCGAGGAATATCGAGTACTCTGGGGTAGTGTGAATGTATTTTATTAGAGTATATGGAGTGGCTTATCTCCAATTGCTCCGAGGTATGTAGCTCTTGGGTAGTGTGAAAGTAATTTATTAGCATTAATGAAGGGGATCATCCCTAATTACACGGAGGAAATTCGAGTACTCTGTGACAGAGTGAATGCAACCATTCATGTTTTTGAGTATGTGTTTGTTATTTGTGTTATTTTATCCAGCATTGACGAAGCCCTGCGGTACAGAGAGACAAGCGATAGGATAAAGGTCAGTTACCGTTATATCTTATAACATTATAAATTGGCTGGAGAAACATTAAAAGAAATTTTAATTGACTGATCTATCTTACATTGGGTCTATGCAAAACACAAGGAGAAATGGACAAACTGTAGAGGTGCTAGACTTAGTAAATCTATGATTAAAGTACCCTCGGTAAATCGGTTCAATGTAAAAGTACTAAGGTAGTCATCAGTATTAACCAGATCAGAAGTTGGGAAAAACAACAAAATCGACTTTGTTGACTACCATAGAGGCAATGAGGAAGCCGAATAATTGACTTATTTATATAACCTTCCTGCTATTGAAAGTATTCTCAAAATTTCTAATACCATTGGAAAGTCTGGTGAAAACAATCAGGCTAATCGGAAAGAAAACAATGAGTTCCTTTGTCAAGCTTTAATCGGATTATATAAAATTAAACTTTTCTTCATTGACTTAATTAGAAAGAATAGAAGGTTATCACTATGTTTTTAGTGAAAGCTTTGGGGTAAGGGTAAATTTTCAAATCGTAATATCAAATAAAATCCCCCTCCCTTAAAAAAAATGCTTAACCGTTTCTAAAGTTTGGTAAACACGTCAAAGTTTTCGGAAGAAAGGAGTTTACACACGTTTTATATAAAAAAAGGGCCGGGAGAACTCTTAGTCGTACGCATTGAAATGTCTCTTACAGTATAGGTGAAGGACGACGGATGTTTCCCTCGCTTCACTAAGTTGTGTGTTGCTCGCCTGACAGCTGAATATCGAATTCAAATCCTTCCTCGTCACCGCTCTCCATTTCAACCTGTTTTCGATGACGTCGCCTGCGTTGTGCTCGAATTCTTCATCAACGACGATCCCGTTCACGAGCCAACGGACCGCCGGTTCAGGCTTTCCTGCAAAAAAAGAAATAAGTCATACCATATTGTTGAATTCTATCAATACAAAACATTATTTTCATATGTGGAGAAAAACGTAAATTAATTACTGTTAATGTTTAAAAGGCTTCACTTCCAAATGTTAGGCTTTCCTGGACAAAACAGAGGCCGTTTTATGTTCTCATATGAAATTTTGAAGGAAATACAGAGAATCAAACACCGAGCTGTTAATGTAAAAGAGTAGTCTTATCGATAAGGTTTTTATCGTCAAATTAACACAATATTCAAATTAACCTTCTTTAAGTATAAATTAACCTTTTTCAAAATGAACATAACACTTTTAACTTCAATTAACCTTTTTAACTTCAAATTAATTCTTTTTAATTTCAAATTTGCTTTTAAAAATTTTAAACTACTTTTTTTAATATCAAAATAACGTATTTTTATTTGTTGTTGTTTTTGAAAAAAAGCCCATTTTTAAATATGCTGGGTGTGAATGGAGGGCGTCTGGATTCGAACCCGTGACCTTTACCTTACAATGATGAGCACACTGTTGACCCCTAAACCGTTGCCGACAACGATGCCCACCTTTTTTTAACTTTAAATTAGCCCTTAATTTTACGCATGTCAAATAAAATTCGTACATATTTTCCATTTTTTTTGTAATATAAAATTATTTGGCTCTTAGAAGACAATATGAAAATTATCGGTTTTATGGTTCTTTTCTTAATGGTTCTTTTATTAATTAGATAAATAATAGGCCAATAAAATAATATTTTTTAAAAATTAATATTATTTTTAATTTCACCTTAATAAACCTTAACTTTTTTTTAAATTTCAAATTAACCTTCTTCTAACTTCAAATAGCCCTTTTCAATTTCATACTAAAGCTTTGTTAAAATGTTAAAAAAACCTAGGAGATTATATAAAATATATTCATTAAAAATAAAATTCCTGTGTACTTATGATGTTTTTAATACAAAAATATTGGGTTCTTTTAAGATCATAGAATAATAGAATAATTATATAATTACAATTAAAATTAAAAAATGAATAAATTTCAATATAAAAATAAAAGATTCTTTTTTTAATGTGAGATTTTAATTAAAATATAAAATTTTGTTCTTATTTCTAAAGTACTGAAATACAATACACCACATTTTCAACCATAAAATAAATGTAACCAAATAAATGACATATTAATTCGTGATTTTTTTGAAAATATAAAATAATTTTTTTACATACCAATTATTTATCTCGATTTAATAGAAGAATATTGGTTATTATAAGCAGTTTGAAGTAATTTTTCATTTTAATTGCAATAAATTGTCTTATTGTCTTCTAAAAATGCAAAAATGCAGTTATTATATTTAAAGAAAAATCTTCGTAAATGTACAAAAATAAGGATTAATTGAAGTTAAAAAAGGTTGATCTGAAGCAAAAAGATCATTTTACGGAAAATTTTATTTGGTAAACTTTGAATACCATGGTTTAATATGTAGACAGATTTTCTATAAAAAATTGCTAGCCGCTTTTCTTAAACCTACCCGGGATATAAAAGTATTTTGAATTTAAAAGTGATTAAGCAAAATATCATTTTTTATATGTTACGCATGTGTTTATTTATCAATCAGTAAATTGGTCATTTCTGTTTTATTTTGGAAACAACATAAATCTAGATATTTAGAGAAAATAAGTTTGCCCGGAATGAACGCATACGCGATTTTATTTGTCCTATTTCTAGGTAACCCAGGGCCTAAGAACCAAGATATCTTATAGCGTAATAATCTGTTGCGCCGAACCTGAACAAGCACTATCTTACTGTTTTAATCAATAAATATTTTTATGCTATGTTTTAAATTGAGAATATTAATTAGACTTAAACACACTTAACCTTAATCCAAAACAAGGATAAAGTATTTTTCAATGTTTAATTTGTACGGAATTTAAAATGTTTATTCAGTCTCCTTTGAATTCTGAAGCTACAAACTGTTTAGTTTGCATCTTTGTTTTCTTAATTTCAGTTTTTAAACTTAAAAATGCCACTTAGTGCTGAGGATGTTGGGCGTGATGTGGCAGTTATTGATGATCGACGATCCATCAGGTATGCGGCTATTGCCATCGGAGTTCCCTACGAACACTGGGAGACGCCATTAGACGTTTTCGAGAAACTGGGTCCTACCATAGAAGACCCGGTTCTGGGCGTCCTAGGGTAACAGAACTACAGGATAAACGTTGTTTGACTTTGAGAATTTTGCGAAACTGGCACCTTGCTGTTGTTCAAGCGATTCATCAGCTCCAGGAAGTTCGAGGTGTCCAAATTTCTGAAAGCACTGCTCGACGAAGATTAAATCAGTATGGACTGATGGCTTTTCACCCCGTAAGAGGACCAGAATAGACCAGAACACACGGAGTTGCAAGGCTCGCATTTGCTCGAGAACACAGCCATTGATCTTTGGACGATTGGTGTGCTGTACGTTTTACAGATGAGTGTAGATTTGCTCCACGATCTCCAGATGGGCGTGAAAGAGTGAGGAGAAGGCGAAATGAAAGGTAAGAAGTCTGTAATTTTTCCCAGAACCAATTGTCAACGTCACCCAGCGATGGTGTGGGCAGAAATTTCAATGGAGAGTCGCACAGAGTTGGTTGTTGTTCGTGGACGGCCACTCGCTATGTGGATGAAATTTTGGAACATCATGCGTCACCTATCCTCGATGAAATCAGCGACAATCCTATTCTAACGCACGATTATGCCCGTCCCCATGTCGCTCGCATAGTACAACAGCATAACTTAATGGTCTTAGCCTGGCCAGCCCGTTCTCCAGACTTGAACCTCATGGAACATTTATGGGATAACCTCAAAAGCCGAATAAGAGCACGTCCATCACTTCCTGATCCACTCCACGATCTTGAAAGGGCTCTTCGTGAAGAATGTACTAACCTCCAGCGTAGAGCCATTTCTATACTGGTAGAAAGTATGCCGAGGCATCTTCGAAATATAATTAAGGTAAGAGGAGGAAATACGCGATATTGAAATGTTAATTAAAAATCTAAACAAAATTAAAACAAATTTTATCTGTGCGTCTTTTTTTAATTTTTCATTTTCATCAACCATTTTCATATTTTTTTTTACTTGTTTAGACAAAAACGTGAAAATTTGATTAATATATAAAAATATATACAAATCAAATATTACAAGTGGGCGGAATTTTTGGCTTGTCAGTGTATAATAAATATCGTAATTTTTATTTATGTATTTTTGAGTGTTTTTTAATCTCTACACATTTTAATGAATAAATTTTTTTAAGCCTTTGCTTCAGTCGGTTTTGGTTGGCGGTTGTATGCTAGTTTAAAAAATAATTATTTCTCGGCCGATATACCAAATTCCACCAACATCTTATAAATATAAATATTCAAAAATAAATCTGTCACATTAATTTCGACCCTTCCATTTTCCCTCGATACCCGTGTTAGAAGTTTCCTTAAACCTAACCGGAAAACTCTTCCCACGCAACTTTTTCCCTCTGCGTCATACAGTTGAATCCGTTTCTGGATGTTTTTCTGTTTGCATCAAAGACGGGTCATAAGGAAATTATCAGCATGATGAATGATGAAAAAACGATATTTTCATGTTTGCATTTGTTTTGAATTGGATTCATCAATAAATTACAAGTTCAGCGCGGTATCCAACGGTAATTAATGAAACCAAAGATTATTGATTAACTTTTGTTGTTGTTCAAAGTGCTAGGGTTTATGCGTTAGTGTGGAATGCAGGCATATTAATGGGGATTATAACACTTAAGGGTACAAAACGGTGTTGTAGATATTACGGTGCGAGGCGACGGTGGCCTGTAATTTACCTGGACGTAAGTATTGCCCGGGTATATCGCGCAATAAGTCACTCAATGCCAGCGGTCCCCGATTAACGGAAAGTCTGAGGTCGGAAATTATGTAAGAATTCATTAGGATAATATGTAAATAATTTAGCGATACTTGCTTACTATATATTTTATAGCTAGTGATTAGGGTTTAAGCCATAGCACCTGGTCCTCCCTCCCTCCACCGACATCTACAAAGTGAAACATTACAGCTCCACCTCTACAACCACCTCTCCCTAGTACAAATAGTGGTTTTACTCCCTCGTATTTCATCTAGAATCAACGGCCTTTGAATGGACGCCTTTGAATCTTTTCCATAGTTAGAAAGTTGGAAAGATTTTTCAGTACGGCATACGGTTTAGTATATTTCACCATACTTATCAATTTCTATTCTCATAAACGCCTTTTCTTTTTTATAACATACTTTTTATTTTCATATATATTTTAAATTATTTGACTTTTTGTTTTCATTCACTCTATGAATCGTTTGTGTGTATGTTTTATTTATTTACCTGCTATTAAAAAAAAAATAATAAAAAACTTTATGTTCAGCATGTAATAACATGAAAATGAGAACATAAAATACTCAATAGAAACAATCCTAAGTATTACAGTTAATATGCACCCTCGGTGTCAATTAGGAGGTCGCGAAGACAGTGACTATTATCTGAAAGAATGCGGTAAAGTTTCTGAAAATGATGGTTGACAGGATAATCGTTTGTGAAATTTTGGAGTGGATTTTGGCAACTTGAAAAAAATTTGGATATTAAGGTCATTGTTATTGGTAAGATTGGATACATAGATAGATTGGCGTGGGGATTGGATAGGTTGGATAGGAGGTTGGACCGTTTAGTGGGACCCCGAATGTCCAAATAGGTCTTATAGTGATGTAAATGAGTCGTTTGGATTATGATTGTCAGACATCCAACAGAAACCAACACACTGGAAGACCTTTGACATCAATAGATGTCTAACTTGTTACGATTGCTGCGGAAGTAAGATCCCAACAGGCATTCAGAACGTTTTAAGACTAGTACCATCAATAGCATGGGCTGGATGAATTCCAGAGACATTCAACATCAATAAATTGGAAATGTTTCAGTAGATACGACCAATAAAAGGTAACTCAGTGGAAGACCT